GCCGGTAATACTGATACTACTGAAAATAAAAAAGGTGTTGTTAACATATTTCGGCATGACTGCTTTACCTGCGCGACAAGTCCAAGGCAAGTTCTGACTCCTTGCATGGCATCGCCCATAGGGTCTCCTGGCGGATCATTCAGCCATGACTTGGCCAGCCAAGAGAGATGGCGGTTGATGTAGGTTCAAAGAGTTGTGGTCCCTTTCCTGTGGTCAATGAGGATCCTACTTACAATGGGGGCCCAAAGATGATTGATAGGCATTTCTCAAGAACAAGGATCGCCATAACAAACTCTACATCTAGCCGTCCCTAGTAGCCCCCTGTCTTGAGAAACTGCCAGATAAACAAAGGCAATATTCTTTTGTGTATCCTCAGCTTAGGTGGCGCATGGGGGACATTTTTCATCATTTGATGGAGTGCAAGCACGCAGTCGGCGGCGCGTCCAAGGCTGGAAAGTTCCTGAAGCGCAGCGATTAAGGTTTAGGCCGGCTTGAACAGGCCAATCTTTACCCAGACCTCGCAAATCCTCATAATCCCATATGTATATGCATATGTATGTATTTATTCATATATATGTCACCCCCGCCCCCCAAGAACTACCCAGAGCATGAAAACAATATGTTTTAATGCACATAAGTATTCCGCCTCTCTTTTTGAGGTTACAAACTACTATTCTAGGTGCTGGGGGTAGGTATGGCTGAAAGCCCTGGTGCAGGCGAGTCGCAAGACCGCGCTGGAATTTCTTTTCACGGATACCAAGCTTCCGCACACCCATCGTCAGTGTACAATTAATATGCATGACAGGCCCGGCATAGGGGAGGGGAGGGATTCCATCACTTGTGGCATTGAAGCTGCGTCTTCTGGACGGGCGATCAGGACTTGATTGCCAGACTGCGTGTAACCATTGGTAACCTACCCACTGCGAGGGGCAAGGGGCAAGCGCGGAAGGTGAACAGTGCAATGCTGCGAGACTTCCGCTAGTAGCAGGGTAGCTAAGCTTCAAGTTTTTCGATTATGTACATTGATCCCACCATGAAGAACATGGGTTTTGCTCTTTTTTGGCTCGGACTTCCACTGCTTGACGTAAAGATCAGATCTGGCAGGAATTTTGAGATCTCGACGCAGGCTCTCGCGTTGTCGAAGGAGGACGGCTGCTTGCACTGGATTGCTGCAGAAAGCCGAGATGTGGCGGGTTTTGGGGGGTCCCAATTAACAGGATCTCAGTTTTTCTCAGTTTTTTTTTCGGGCCTCTATTGGGGGCCAGTGACTTTGGAACCCCAGTCCGCGCATTTCCCCAAAAATCGGTCTTTCATACACTGAAATCAGTAAGGTCCCAAGCACAATTTTGAGAACCCCTTAAACCTTAAACAGCCCTTATCATCCATGTGACCCTCCATGGCTTGCGAGGCCTTTGAACAGCTCCGTGAGGCTTGGGTAACTGCCACACGCCATGGAGCGGTGCCTGGGCCAAAGGTCAACATGCGTACTCTGGGCTAGAGTAACCAATGTGGCCGCCAACAGTTTTTTTCGTAACTGATTTGTGTTTGCAGTTATACAGCATTCTTGAGCATCTAGGTTGTTGTAGGTAAAGTGTTGGGTTTTAGGCTTACGCTTTCGGGCTTACGGTGCAAGATCTACGGAGTGCGCTTTCAGGTCGATCAGGGAATCCGATTCCTGCCAGGCACGTCGCTCCAGTTGCTGGCCTGCAAACAGCAAGGCACTGACCGAGGTTGATGCTTGAAGGTATTCACACATGCGTCACAAGTCGCAATGGAGCATGGCAACATCCAGGGGACCCACCCTGATGACTGTTGCTATTATTGACACGCAACGAAGAGACAAGGGTCCAGAAACAGCGAAAGTTACTAGGATGGCGACGCCTATGGGGCCTCATCCCAGTGACGGTTGACACTTTTAAGGCGCGACGAAGACACAAGGATCCAAAAGCACTACAATTGCGTTGATTTCGACCCCGCCGGGGGCACCAGGGTGCTGAAGCGATGACATTTGTGAGTATGGCGACCCAGGGCTCCAGCCCGGTCTCGACACTCGCGGACGCATGCAAATGCTTGAGGACGCTTGCAGACACTTCGCGGACACAAACCCAATGAATATCGGTCACCTCTTGGAGACCCCTACACACAAACACTTGAAATGAGAACCATTCTGCGCAGCATTCGGGAAAAACATGCACCAACATGACTTCATCAAAGAATACTGTGAACTCTATGACCCCACGAAAAGGACCTTTGAACCCGCGAGCTCTAGATATACGTTTATACGCCAACAACTCCCTGTGAACCCTACGGCCAATTAAAGAGGCTACCTATGAACCTCAAGTAGTCCAAGCAGCCCTGAACTTTCAATCCTGAAACCTGTACGCCCTAAGCCTAAGCCGTAAATCCTATAAGCCTTGAGCATCCTTGAGTCCGAAACCTTGTAGTCTCACACCCTAAATCCTAGACCCTCAGCTCGAGGCACGTTCTGGTGGGCCCTCACAAAGAGGAGGCAGGTGATTTACACAGCTCAGCCACATGGCTCAAATTGCTGTCTATGTGCAGAGGGCTTAGGGTTTGGGGACTATGTGAGTCATTTCACGGGCTCCAAGGTCTCTTTTCGACGGGTCTTTGGGCTAAGTGGTGAACATGCACGAAGTTGTTTCCAGAGATTCTGAGTGCTTGGGGCGCCCTGAATAAGAATTCCCTACTCTAGGGAATATGCGGGGCCCATATATACATGTATTGGGGGGTCCCATGAACACGTTTTGAGGGACATTCTATACTCCAGAAACGTGGTGCCTTCTGGGTCCGGTACGTAGCTCACAAGGGCACTTTTTCCACACGAATCTTGTCCCTCAAAAAAAAAATTCATGGTCCCTTGAAGCCTTTTTTTCCACATGAATCTGTGCCCGCCCAAGACATTTTTCCACATGAATTTGATCCCTTAAAGACAGCTTTTCCACAAGAATCAGGTCCCTCCAACACAGTTTTTCCACATGAACCTGGTCGTGCAGAGACAGTTTTTCCACATGAAGTTGGTTACCCAACTGCAGTTTTTCTACACGAATCCTGTACCTCAACGGCAGCTTTTCCACATGGATTTGGTCTTTCAGAGGCAGCTTTTCCACAAGAATCTGGTGCCACAGAGACGCCAGTGATCCTCGACGCCCGAGTTGGCTACCATGTTTCTCGCATCGAGGGGTTGCGGAACAAGGTGTAGAGAAATCTTGGCGTCACTGCTGAAAAGATGTGGAAACAAGTTTCGTCATGGCGGAAAAGTCGTGGAACAACTTGGCCTGAGTTGCGGAAACAGATGCGGAGAAACTTGGCCTGGGTTGTGGCA